AGTTAATGAGTGCTTTAAGTTTAACTCCCCCTCTGAAATTATCTCCGACACCGTACAACCGATTTTAGTCAAACTTTCCGTAAATGTTAGGTTTAATGGGTTACGGCAACGAAAAAAATGTTTTGTCTCTATGTCGTACGGTTTAGGAGTTTTCTAGAGATCAAGGTCCAAAAACGGTCCTGAAGTTTTTCCCAAGGTTTTTTAATACACTTCAAGCTGGAGAGTTCGGGTTTGTTTTATTTTCAACTAGACACCGAACTACATGGATCGATCGGCGCCGATTTTCCAATAAAGTCTTTACTGGTTTTACAGGCAACCTCCAAAGCCCGAAAAATCCTCAATTTGACAAAAAACTAAGATTTAATTCAAAAACCGGCGTCCCCAAACATCCCCAAAATCCCAGACAGCGCAATATTCGATTACTATATTAAATAGTCCTATACACATAGATAATATATAATTACAAATGCACGGCTAATCTACGGAAGGTTCGAAGTCTTGATCTTGCGGCAAGCGCAAATTCTCCATAATATCGGACCGTACCGATTCATCTGTACTAGAAGAAGTTTAGCAGCATACAGTGTGTCTCATCCACCCTCTTCGCTTCAGCCTTTAGGGATGGCTGCCCAGCGCACTTGTATTGATCCAATATCTTGACTCAAAACGTGTTTCTTGCATTTCTCGAGTTAAGAAATGCATAAACCTTTTCTTAGGTCAATATATTGAGTCATTTGATGAGTTAAATTCTTGGCAGGAAGTACAAAACAAATACTTTCTTGACAGTCGTTTGTTAAGTTATTATTTTTACTTTTGAGAAGTTATTTGGACATGTGGTAATATCCGGACTGAGTGAGCTAGTCATCTGTTTTCTGATTGTTTAGAAAAAAATTTTCCGCCTAAAAGACAAAGGATACTATTGTTGTTTCTGGCCCGTTTGTATGATGTACCCATTTAGGTATTTTTATGTTAAATATTACAATGCATTATGGTAACCAAGGCGGCATGATCTTTTTAACGAGTTTTTTTTTGACGAGAAAGTGTTTTTAAATCTTTCTTTCTGGATTTGAAATGTAGGACTCTATGTAAATATAGGATATAGGCCATCTTATGAAGCAGTTTGGCCATGTAAAAAGTACATAAGAAATAAATAAGAATAGCATGAGAATTCTTATCACTTTCTTATGAAGTTCTCACAAATATCTTATCCGATTCTTTTAAGACTCTTACAAAATTCATGGCACGTTCGAGCGTTTTCCTATATAAATATGATGCCTGGTTGATATTATCGGCAGTTAAACTGCTTATTACAATCGGAAGAATTCATGAGCCATGATTCTGTTACTGTCACTGTCATAGGTTTCGCAACAACCAAAGAATTGATCAGTAAGTCAATTTTCAGAAGAGATACGGGATGTTTTGAGTTAGGATCGACTTTTGGTAGAATACTGTCGGAATTTAGAAATAAAGACAAATCGGAAACTTTTAGTGTGACAGACTATGGTATTAGCACATCGACTCTTATTCTGGCCGAAGACATTTCGTCAAAAGGTTTACTCTGCAATCGTAGCAGTTGGATTATATTTTGCGATATTCAGTATAATTTACTTTCATCTCGTTTTCGTTAGAAAACACGGCATAAACCCGAAGTTTCCTACAAAGAGCTACATACTGGTAACCGGAGGCGCTGGTGATATTGGAAAACCCTTAATTCTGCAGCTAATCAAGTTAGGTTACACTATCGTGATATTAGACGTTCAGAACAATACAAAAGAACTACATTACACTCTCAATAATAATAAGTACTATCTTCGAAAAGTTAATTATTTTGTCGCAGATATTAGAAACGTGTCAACTGTTCGCCGGATTATAAAACAATTCGATAAACTAAATGGAATTATTCATTTTGCCGCCGTTTCAACCACCGAAGATTGTGCAGCTAATATCACCGAATGTCTAAGTGTTAACGTCAATGGAACGGAAGGTCTGCTGCAAGTTGTGGAATCAAGTTTTGCCAATACCTCAGTAAAACCTTGGATTATTTTTGGCTCATCACGCGAAGTATATGGTAATGTAGATCCGAATTTACCTGCTGATGAAGATACGCCGTTACTGCCGGTAAACGTTTATGGTAAATCAAAATTAGTAGGAGAGTTGCTTCTAGCTCAATACATGTCTGCTTTCTCGAACATATTTATTTTGCGTTTTGCTGATGTTTATGGTAGTCTTTTGCAGAAAGAACGACTTGTACCTAATATGATCAAAACTGCTATGATGGATGCCGTTTTATACATAACCGATGTAAATAAAGAAGTTGATTATGTTCATATTCACGATGTAATCAGTATTTGCATTAAAGCAGTACAAAAGCTTGAGAAGTATGCCTGGGGATTAAATTCCACAATTAACAGACTTATCGTTGGCAGCGGTGAAACAACTGACACTAACAAACTAGTATCAGTTATTTTGGAAATAACAGCATCTCGTTCACCATTAATATTACTTCCGTCGAATAGGACTGATACATTCAGTTGCAATATAAAGCAAATGAAGCGAGTTCTGGGTTATATACCGGCCTACAGCAGTTTGGAAGCCGGCTTACAAAAATATGTGTACGACCTAAGGAGACAAGAACAGAAAACACTTGAGACCATATACAAAGGAGAGTGTTCTAGTGCTGAGGTTACTAGTCTAAAACTAGATAAATGCACAGTGAGTTTTTATACTAACCTGCTAAATAGAACTGCACTTACCTGCTCGAACAAGACCCTTGTTGAGAAATCTTTCACGTATATGCCGCAGTTCCAATTTATCGCAAATGAACAGATAGTAATTGATGGTAGAATGTTATATAAGATTCAATGTAAGCCACCAGACCTACGCTATTTGTACTTGAAGAACCAAACTGTAGAATTAGCGGAAAATGGTTCCTACTTCGCATTAGCATACTTGCCTGCCACTGGGACAGTAGCACTTCTCGGATACACGGATTTTGCATCACGAATACCTCTTCTATACAAACCTCCAAATCTCGCAACAAAATGGGATGGAAATGATTATCCTCTGTACCTCATACAGCATTGCTGCGAAGGAAAGGCCAAGTTACCTTTTTTGAAAGCAGATTCTCTTTTAGCATTAAGAAAAGAATTCAGCGATCCAGATGCTATAGTCAGTCAAAAACAAATGAGAATCAGGTGTCAGAGACTCAGCACCGCTTTAACTAAGATTAAAGAAGACCTTCAAGATCCCAAATTAGTTATTGGGATTAAGCTCAATTTGAAGGCATTACCAACAAAAAACTTCCATTTGTGGCGCATGAAAAACTTGCCAATTTGTCAAACTGATTGTGACCTCCTTAGTGTTTGCGTAAATATCGGCTCTTGCCGATGTATACCAGAACGTTGTTCAGTAAAGCATCTGATGTCGAAAAAACAGTTTGATTTACATAATACCATACCGCCTCCGTCGTACACCAATCCACAAGACAAACTGCTATCAGAAGCTTCTATCGATGCATTATCAATGAATAATTTGTTGCAAAGTCACTTTCTGAAGGTTTTAGAAACTGTAACATATCCCAAAATACATGTACTTCGCGTTAGTAGGTCAATGACGCCGCATTATAATGACAGAGAACGGTATGAAATCCAAAAAAAAGACTGTTTCATCAATGATAACGTAATACTGACAGCTTTGGAGAGCATTTCCACCTCTATTTCTAACTCAGAAATAGTGTTGGTACCTTTCTTCCATGCTCTGTACATTCACTACAAAGGTTTAACCTATTCAAAGCAAATCCACCTTATCAGAAATTTAATAGAGACCGCAAATTCCGTAATTTCAAAGTCGCAGTCGTCCGCTATAATCATGATTATTCTCAGCCATGATTCTGGAGGATGCGTTGGATTCCAGTGGGACCATCTTGATCTTAAACTCAACTCCATGAATTATCAAATTGAGCCATTACGCAAGGTAATCATCCTACAATCTAATGGAGATTATAACACTAATTGTTATTATCCTCATAAAGACATTGTAATTCCACAGCTAACATGTTTTACAGAGTCACTGAAGTTAACTTTTGGTAAAATCAGCAATATCAAGCACATATCTAAGAGAGAAATTTTTGCGTTTTTTAAAGGAACGTATTGGGGCACAGGAATTGTGACCAGACTACGTCTCTCCTGCGTTAGTTTATTCCCAAAAACAAGATGCTCTTCGTTAAAAAACACAACTTTAGTACAAGAATATTATAATAACACAGATTATTTTACCACGCTCAACAACACAAAATTTTGTTTGCTTGTTGGAGGCACAACAGGTTGGGCGACACGTTTCGTTGACGCAGTTTATGCGGGATGTATTCCAGTACTAATTGGTTTCACAACACATTATCCCTTTCAAGATATATTAAATTACGAGAAGTTTTCGATATATATCCCTGAAAATCAAATTGACGAAGTGGAGCGTATATTGCTAATGATCTCCGAATCAGACCTTGAAATAAAACAGAATTACTTGTTAAAAGTTCGCGATGCGTTCATTTACAATTTCAGAGATCCTGTTTCTGACCTTCACAGGCGCAACGGTCCACTGTTTTACATACTAATGAGTTTAAAACTCAGACTTGCAACGAGCTATGCGTATTAATAATGTTAGAAGAGAGTCTCTACGAAACATCGAAATAAATATATCGTCACTTTCATTATTATTAAAGAGTATCAGGTAGAACTGTTAACTACCTATCGGAGTTTCATGGACTCGGACTGGACTGGACTGAACTGAAAATTTTGAGTTCATACAGAGCGCTGCTACCTGTTTTCTTAGGAGCTACCTGCATATTATGTTATCACATTTTTTCAATTTCCTCCTCCATGTCACCACTTGTCATCTTTCAGTTATATCTACTTTCATAGCGCATGAAAACAAAAATTTCCGAAGTTCCTACTATGAATATCACTTTTTGTTTAGAAGATGTGTCTCTGCTTGTTAACAAACTTTTTTACAGTCTAGATGGAAATTTACAAGGCGAACACTAATGAATACTCTTGTGTTTTGAACTGCGCTTTTTTGTACTTAGCGGCCCAAGCCTGAAAAACATCGTGAATTGGGTGATTCATCTAGATGCAACTGATTTTAAATAAATTCATCTAGTTTTCATAAAACAACTCAAAGTTGTGCCTTGGGCAATTTAACTATATTCGATCACTCAAGATAGTAATAGGGAATTTGCCACCCAATTCATTGGTCTATAAGGACGAGCGCGATTATTTGATAGAATCGGCCCCTGCCTGAATTCCATCTACACATACATGGTTAGATGCAGAATGAACAGGAGAACATTTCTAGACACTCGGCAGACCTTAGAAATGGTCTCAGAAAAAATTGGGTTCAATTAACTGTAATCATTTCTGACACGTATTATTGATCATATTTTCGAGTGTGTCTCTCTCGGCCTCATACCTCAGTAGAACTATTATATGTCATTCGAAAGCTCTTTTCTGTGCTATATTTCTGTATATCACATATGAAAGATAGAGTCCAAGTATGTTTAGAAATACTTCCGTCTGTGGAAAATAATCTCGTATGTGCAAAAAGTCTAAGATAATCTATGACACCCTTTATCATCTAGCCACTACGATAGATATACCAATCGACAGACAAGTTCTCGCGCTACAAGTTCATATATTACAAGCAACTGCAGTCGATTTACCACTAGACACAAGGGTAATATTCTTACACATTAGGCACAATATTCCAGTGAAAAAGCACTATAGAATGCCCGGAGAAGTCTTATTTTGCTCAGAATTTTTCGCTCTATCAGACTATATGATTTGCAAAATTTTCTCACTAAAAATTAAGGACTTGGTGTTTCAGCGGTCAGGTTTTTCAGAAGCTCTATTATCAACTTTTCTCATGACAGGCCGATATGCACCTAATCTGATAGAAAAATCTAAGCTTCTTTTCCATATCTTTAATGGCTAGCCTGACCTGTCTGGATATTGTGACCAGCTCACTTTGCAGAGAACTTCAAGGGCTATCCAGTGGTATGTTTTCGAACAATACATAATTTTCATTATGGCAGAAAAACGACTAACGGAGTGTTGAAAGCACTAAGATGCGTCAAAATAATTATATCGCCCAAGTATTTCAACTGTCGACCCATGTGAGTATATTTTTGAAAGACATATTTATAGTGCATTTTGAAGCTCGTGAAATTCTCTATTGAATGGGATATCTATCGTAGTGACTACGTGAGAAACCTTGATCACAGGATCCTCATCGTGGAATAAGTCACCCACTGTTCAAGGCGTTGCAGAAAGTATTTATAATGTCAAGGTACTCGGCGACACTTTTCTCGGTATTTTGTATACATGAAATTGTAGCGCGAGAAATTGTCTCTCGAATGGTATATCTATCGTAGTGGCTACTTGAGAAACGTTGATCGTAGGGTCCCCATCGTGGAATAAGCTACCCACTTTTAACAGCTCACCGTGGAATACTTCACCCGCTTTTCACGGCTTCCCAGACAGTATTTCTAATGTCATGATGCCCGAGGACACTTTCGTCACTATGTTATATACATGAAATAGTAGCGTAAGAAATTATCCATCAAATGATATATCTATCGTAGTGGCTAGTTGAGAAACGTTGATTATGGGGGCCGATTCCATCAAATAATCGCCCCCGTCCTTTGGCAGTTCACCCACATTCACTCATGAGAGTAGTAAGAAAGTGGAAGTACTAGGTAATTTAGTATCTTATACAAAGTTTTTTGTCAATCAGAATAAATTCTGAAGTAGCCTGAAGAGATAAATCTAACTTTCTAAGAAAACATATAATAAGAGAGACTCAGACTTCATTGTTTATTGGACGAAAATGGACGAAAGTTCAGGCAAAGGCAAATTCTAATTAAAGTTAGAAGACACCTTGGAATACAGAGAGCTCTGACAGTTTTTATTGTTTTCAATACAAACGGCTTACAGTACTTGCCAAAACTTTATAATTCAATATTAAGGAAGTTCCATCGGTATCTCTTCTGCAAATTAATGTAAACTTAATGAATAACTCTTCTGATTTCAGTTACTATTCAAAATGTATCTTTAATATTTAACTCTATCATTGTTTTGGTATAGCAAAATCTTCAATATCCATTTCAGCATTCTGAACGGTGAATTAAGTATTGCGTCAAAAGATGCACTTACGCAGAAAACAGCATACAACTAATGATTTTTTAAATGTGGCGTGCAGCAAAGGGCTAACTGCATTTGTTTATTAGTTTTTCTTGGAGAGACCGCATTTTTTCTAATGCTTTCCAATATTGCCATCATCTGAAGGATCCTATACCTGTTATTTTACATCGGTCTGACGTAAAAACAGATCTATAAATATAAAAACCACCAGTGAGACAGACATGAAGCCCGCTCTCAATAAAAGTAACGAGTACCAACGAAGTTTTATGTTACAGAGGAAAACTTTTACAAAATGAACATCTTTTAGTAAACACTTTGACGAGGGCGCGAAGTTACCCACTTTGTAACTACTAACCAGTAGCTAGGTTATATTGGACTTAGTTTCCCTCACTATTAGCTCAACCATTTTCTGAAAACCAGTTTTTCAGAAAATCTAAAAAATAACCAACACCTTTCCTAATGGGCCACAAGTGAAACATGATTGTAGCCCGCAAAGTTCTGGTTGAAATGAGACGTCTCCCAGCTCTACAGGACCTTTCTTTGCAAAGTTATAGAATTTACAAGAAAAGCCCTAAATAGGCCTGCAAAAGTTCACGTTTTGTTCCTTGAACGTGAATCTTAAAGCACTGGTGGACGTGAGCTTTGTTTATACGAACGGTGTTCATGTCGTCTGAAGTAAATATAAACTTCTGTTCTTGTATTGTAGTAAGAACATGTATATTTCTGCTGGGTCGTATCTGATCAATAGAAACTCTAGTGAAGGATCAGACGGTCTTCTCAGGGCACTGACCAGATTATTGCAATGTAAAAAGGATACACCCTGATTCTTCCAAGAACAGATCGAGGATTTCTTGAACCAGAAGACTAGTTTTTCCGGCAGTGGAACTGAAGTTCCTAGGATTTCCATCTGTCACGTATCAACAGTAAGTTCGATCGAGTGGTTGTTCCATGTGATGAGAGTAAATTGAGCTGCAGTTCTACTTTGAGCATCATTAGGTTCAATAAAACCATTGTAACCAACAGTGCAAGTGTAACATCTCTTTAAGGATA